TAGTGCCTAAGGCACTTGACTGCTAACCAGAAGGCTGGCGGTTCAAAACCACCAGCCACTCCTCGGAAGGAAGGTTGGGCAATCCTACTTCCGTAGCGATACTGCCTCTCAGAAACCCAAGGGGGGGGGGGTCGCTGAGTCCGGTCCGACTCCATGGCACATAACATTACTACTTTAATGAACAGAAACCTATCTAAAACATCTTTCAGTATAAAGAAAAATAAAATCATCGCGCAAATCCCTGTATAGTAAATTTCAATCCTCTTATTGTTTCCTAATGTATATGGTCAGGAAATTTTTATGAAGAGTCCCCTCGTAGAAATCTTGTATCCACTATACTCAAATTACTGATTACTGCGATTGTGCGTCAATTTTTACTACTATTTTAACACAGGATTATAGATGCATGAAGATTAAGAAGAAAAAAAAAGTTTCATAATTCTAATGGCGTCTGGGTCTAAGAAAATTATCTCCAAACTCAGAAGAGTTGCGAGATGCTCAAGGTGTGTCCAAACGCCTTGACCTTTTCACTTGGCCTTTTCCGCAGCGCTGTGACTAATGTAGGCTGGAGCTAATTCAAACTTCACTTGGGACGCAAAATAATTTATTACAAAAGAGGAAAGATGGGGAAGGCTCCACTACACAAGAGCGTCTTCCCTGTCTTCTCTTCCTTCTATCACCGCTTCCCCGCCCCAGGACAGTAATCAAGCGCTTTCCTCTGCGGCTCGAAAGGGATTCGCCCTTACCAGTCGCCCCTTATCCGAGAGGACGCGGACCGACTGCGCCCCGAAATACTTCAGCAAGTCCTCTTTCTCCTCAGCAGTCAGCTCTGCGGGTAGGTGCCGCACTAGGAGGGTTCGGTCGCCCCGGGGCGGGGAAAGCGTAGAGGAGCTCTGACAACTTCTCGATTTAGGCAGTGGCGATTCGGGGGCCGCCATTTTCCTAAAAGAGAGATTAACAGAATCCGCGGGAAGCCTGCAGCAGCAACAGTGCAGCAACAGTAGTTGAGATAAATGAGTGTTTATCGGCTTCGCGCTAAGGATTCTGGAAACAAGGAAATGCCGGGAGCAAAGATCGCTTTCTCGCGAGAACTGAGCCACTGTCATATGACTCCTTTTCGGAAATACGTTTGTCAGACTGAAAGGTGAAGGGCAAGTTATGAGACCATAAACTGATTTAATTTTCAGGTAGCTGCAGGATGTATTAAAAAATAAAAATTCGACCGTGAGAGGCGCAAAGATTAAAAAAGATGTCAATCAAAAAGGGGATAAAGGACTTTTGCTGCGTAAAGGGAGGGTGAAACTCAAGGACACAAGACTCGTGACTACGCATGTGCGAACTGGGGCGCAACAGAAAAGAGGACCCCAGCCTTATCTGGAACAGCACTTTTTTTCCGTTAGATACCTTGCAGTGGTTCGGTCTTTTAGGGACAACAGAACGAAACAGTATCACAGTCTTTGCTATGTTTGAAAGCATCGTTGCAGCTCGTGTTAATCCATCTAGTGAGGGTCTTCCTCTTTTTCGCTAACCCTTTATCTAAACTGATGCTGGTCTGGATGTTAGAGATAAAGCAATAAAGAAAATACTTTTACTTTCGTGGAATATTGTTGGAGAGAGCTGGGTAGCAGTAAAGCCTGTGGAAAAAACCAAAACTAACAAAAGTGCCAGGCAGAGCCAAATCATGAGGACTCTGGGTTTTGTTAAGAGCTGAGTGAAAAAAAAAGTCATTTCAATCCCCACTTTTCACTTGTCTGTCACTAAATGTGAGGGTCAAATCATTGTGATATATCACCAATTCTGTTCCACTTCTGTTCTGGCATCAACTGTACATGCAGTACCTTTTCCTCTGACCTTAACGAACTGAAGTGAGGTGTACACACACACACCAAACCTGAAGCTGGGTCAGGTCTTGCAGGTTAAAGGGCATAGTTCTCCAGATTGTGAAACCTGTCTGTTGTAGGGCAAAAATGTCAGAGTCTGCTTGAAATAAAAAATAGAAGAGCTTTTATTGAGGGGTGAGGCAGTTTGCACATTGGGAATCACAATGTCCAGAGGATTTGAAACTAAGTGGACCAAAGAGGAGAGAGTTCAGAGAGTTTATAAGAGGATTCAAGGAAATTCAGTGAAAATTCAGTGATTGGTTGACGTTTAGGTAATTGTTAAAGTACGTCTGATGGTACATCTGATTGATAGGTGATTACATACATTTATAAAGTTTTTTAAACTTACAAAGTAATTATTAAATGGGGTACATTTTGCCTCAAAAATAATTACACCTTTCTTGTGTAACTCAGAGAGGACAGCTGTAATTCTAAAGTTTGTTTTAAGTAGGCATCTGTTCTAAGAATTCTGGACCTGGTTTCCTAGGCAGCAAACAATACCTGTAACCAAACAAATAACATTGTACTCTAAAATGTAGCAAGTAATTTTCTGAGGGTACAATGGAGAATTACAGGAATGACAGACTGTAATCCTAATGCAATGCTTATTTTTGATTAAAAATGGAGTTTTAATGTTAGACATTAGGAGCTCTGGTAGCATAGTGCCTAAGGCACCTGACTGCTGCTAACCAGAAGGCTGGCGGTTCAAACCCACCAGCCCCTCCTCGGAAGGCAGGTTGGGCAGTCTACTTCCACAGTGATACAGCCTTGGAAATGCAAGGAGGGGTTGCTATGAGTTGGGGCCGACTTAATGGCACATAACAACAACGTTAGACATTAGCATAGCTACCATCTTATATTTAAAAAAAACTCACTGCCATAGACTGACTCATAGTGACCCCTACTGGGTTTCCACGGCTGTAAATCTATACAGAATTAGATTGTTCCATCTTACTTCCATGGAACAGCTGGTAGGTTTGAACAGCTGACCTTCCGGTTAGCAGCCAGATGCCTTATCCACTATGATATCTAATCTACTTACCATCTCATGTCAGGGGTCCTAAATTAATTTGAAGTACTCTTACTCATGCCTGAGATTTCAGAAACAAGCCATAAGCTTGAGAGTCCTCAAGCCTTCCTCATTTCTGACTGCTGGTTTTAATTTCAGTGTCTTCCCACTACCCCTTCAGAATGCCAGCCATAAATTTGGGAGACCTCAGGGCATCCCCTTCTGACCTGCTAGCTAAAATTTGGGGTTTCCTTTTGGGGGTTGCCAGTTCTAACGAGGCACCCTGTCACTCCCTCCCCACATTTTTCTGACTTGCTTGCTCCCACTACACCTTTGGGTTCAATAATTTGCAAGAACCATTCAGACCTCATAGAAGGTGCTTGTGATAGTTAAGATTGTGTCAACTTGGCTGGGCCATGATTCCTAGTGGTTTGACAGTTACGATGCAGCATCACCATGATGGGTGCAAGCTGGATTCAGAAGAGGATGTGGAACAAGGGATATCATAGCTGTTGTCAGATGGATCTTGGCTCAGGGAAAAGAATACCTAAAAGATGTTTACTTGTGTTTTATTGACTATGCAAAGGCATTTGATTGTGTGGATCATGACAAATTATGGATAACATTGAGAAGAAT